ACATATTGTCAATTTAAGAGTTCTTGTACTATAGTAATAAAGAAGTAATAATAATTATTATTATTATATATTTATAATAAAAAAGAGATAATATATATAATAGAGCAAAATTATATTAAAATATCATAGTATTTTCTTGAAATTCTGTTAAAAAAATCAATAGCAACGAGTTTTTTTTATAAATTTTGCTAACATATAATTATAATACTAAAATAGATATTTCTATTTATCCATGCTCATTTTATCTATATAGAACTACAATGATATTAAATATATGATCATCAAAATAAAATTATATTAATAAATTAATTATTTAATTAATTATCTAGTGAATTATTTTTTTCTATATAATGCCAAATATAGTGATTCTATTTTAGATCTATTGCTGATATTATATTAGTTTTTTAAATTATTACTATAAAAAGTAAAGTAAAAGCTTTGCTATAGGTGCAATTATTGTCTTTATATAAGATAGATCTAGGATCTAATTGTTTTCTCCCTCAATAGCTTTATTTTATAATAAATAGTTTTTATTTATTTTTATTTTTATTTTAATTTTTAATAATTAAAAATAATTTAAAGTTATATTAATTTTAGTAATTTATTTTTTAATTATTAAATAGTTATTTTTGACAAATTTATTGAATCTCTTGCTGAAATAAATCACAATTATCCTGAAGAATATAATAAAATAATTACCAATCCAATATTAGAATTAACTAATACCAAGTCATTCTATTTTGATACAACTGTTGATAATATTGTAAATTTTTATATTGTATTTTAAAAATATTATTTTTGTTTAATCTTTATTAATAATATTATAATATAAAATAATTGGTGGACTAAATTTAATCATTATTTAGTAAAAATAAATAATAATTTAATAATATTGAATATTGTTTTAGCTTATTACAACTAAATATATGTTATCTATCTTTAATTCTAATTTTTAGTCTCTTCTATTATAAAAACTTAGTTTTTTCATCTTTTAGTTAAACATGTAAATAACTTGAAATCCATAAAAATGATAATAATATATTTTTAATACAATAATGTCATGATACAATTCTTCATTTTCAATTACAAATTGAAAATTAAAAATTAGAATTAACATTATCTAAAGAATTCAAGATTAATTTTTTTAGCATAATGTTATTAATAAATAGAAAGTATGATAATATAATAATATTTATTTATTACACAAAAAATTTGAAAGTAACTATTTTTAATATAATTGTTATATGATATTTTTTAAAACAATGATTATATAGATTTTAAAATGATATAATTATTAAATGAAAGTCAAACTACACCATGTTGCTTTAAACTGTCAATATATAAGTTCTAATCGTTATGCAATAGAAGATGCATTGATTAATAAGTGATTTTTATCTTATTTTCACAGCACTGGTCGAATTTATAGTGCTGATCCCAAATTTTAACATTTCGATATATTTTAGGCAATGACATGATTTGTAAGTTAATACTATAAGACTCATGGCCTGAACATGTCAATCTGAAGTAAGAAAAGGAAAATTTTCATTGAATAACTAATAATGTTTTGCAAGGTAATATTAGTAATGCTGAAATGGGCAATTGTTTATAAAAGTAGACGGGACATGGAGGGCATACTTGCAATTTTTTGGGCACAAGGACGAAAATTAATCGACTAAACATATTCGTTAAACCGGAACTGCGTTAAGCCTATTATGACATTCTCGTTAATATGACGTCCCGATGATGTCACTAATTAACCGGATTTATTTGATAACGATAAGCCTTAACCAGATATTTCGATAAACCAGATAAATTACCTCCTCGGTTTAACAAGATCTAATGTGTACCAATTTCAGGATCGGGTGCATTACACAGTGATTCTCGTTAAACCGGTATTTTCTCGAAGGAATTTCCAATTAGAATGTCTGTATAATAAGCCTTAACCAGATACCTATAAAACGGATAACTCTGGTTTACAAGAATCACTTGACTTTCGGAGTTAGGTACTGGGGTACTAATTTGAAAAAAGAAAGCGACAATAATACCGATGTTCATCTTCATTATCCAACTCATTCTCATTACCGTGCTAATTTCTTGATTTGTATCCGGAATACATTGTATATTAAGTGGGTATAGTGTTAGGAGGTAGCCACGCGGAAAGCTGCCATACTTACCCTATCTCGATTATAATAATTTATGGAGAATTAAAGATTATTAAATGAGAATATCATTAGCGTTAGACTATTGGATAAAGTCATCGTTATATTTATATAGATCCGGGTATGCTACATTTTACTTGAATTGAAAATATAAATTAGATCCAATACGAAACTACAAGTGTATTCTGTATGGCAAATTACAGTACCTACTATATTTATTTAAAAAATTATAGTAATTTGAAGAGAAACAAACATTTATTAAATTAATAAAATGCCGTTTCCATATATAGTTCGGTTTGGGAAACAAGTAAAATACCCTTTCAAAGCTACGCTTCTGTAATGAAAATTACAATAGTTTTTTGCCTTTGAGACTTTAACATAAGCATCAATCTTTTTGATTCATTTAAGCTTAATACGTCTTTGCAGTTCCTCCCATTCCCATAGATTCATAAGACAATAGTCTTTTTGACAAAAAGTAAATTGATAAAGTAGGAATTTTCAATAAAATAATTTGTAATTGTGAGATCTTTGTATTCAGGGTCTACTTTAATTCAAGCTCTCCGGAAAGAGCATTGTGGGAATTACATTTGTAATTGTGGAGTAAAACGCCTCCAACTCAAAATATCCCTTTCGCTGAGATCTTTTCCACTACACATGAAATCAGGATTTGCATATCGTATTGATACTGACTACAAAATAAGGATGTTTAGCCGTGACGGATAGTATTTTTAATATCAGCGATAAAGGTGCGTTTCTCAATGGAACGAAACTATTTTTTAAGCTAAAATCCGATTCAGAATAATTATCAGACATATTTTATGAATAGAACTTCAGATGTTTTGATGAAAACGATTTAACAGTTCATTAACCTTATGGCAATGGTTTTTATTTGTATTTGTCCGAAAACAATTTTCACTCCTATGATAGTTATTAATTCTCTCCTTATTCCGACCTCCATTAATATATCATTAATACAGTATCTAATTCCCAATTTGATTCATTGATCGAACGATTTTTTTGGTTTCTAATAGCATTTCCCAACGAAATGGTAGAGGATAGATTGAATTTCTCTACAGATAATAAAAAAGATATCACTATATGTAAAATGGTTTATCTTGGGGCTGTTTGCATTTTTTTTGTCTTGTCAGGGCTCGATTTTACACCAGAGCATAAAAGGAAATCTATGTAACATGATAGAATGAACACGAATTTTGCGAAATAAAATTTATCGTTATCTAAATCGAATAATTCAATCCCATGAATTATGTTTTGATTGAGGAAAAACAAATATAGCCCGAGACTTCCAGCTTACTATATTCTGTATCATTTATTAGGACCAATAAAATTGTGTGTATAAATAAAAAACCAATAATCTTAATGATTGATTCTACAAGTGCATTATCAGCAAAAGTCGTCAAATGGATTTTTTATGTAGTAATAAAATCCAATAATTTACATGTTTATTATCGTTATCGTTAGGGTCGTGACATATATTACGTAATATAAGTTTATAGAGCCCCCCTCCCCCAAGGATATTACGTAATATCTGTCACAGCCCTTGTTTGCATTAATTTGTGAAGCATTAGCCAGTAAAATTTTATTTACTAAAATAATGCGAAATAAAATTAATGAGCTAAGAAAATGATATAATTTCGAAGTGTTACATTTAAATCAAGTAATATTTAAAGATAATTCGAGCAATGACATTTACGACCTCATGATGAATTATTATAAGACTGATCTCACCTTTTTTCAATATTAATATATAATTAGTAAAAAATGAAATAATTTCTTTCAAAAATAATAGATTTATAATAATTAGAATCAAACTTCTTTATAGTCACCCTTTGATGATAAAAGCATTTTTTGATAGTTAGTTAATAATAGATACTAAGATCAAGCTTATCTCTTTACAACTAATATTGAAATATCGATATTGCTTTTTTCAAAAGTTATAATTATAGAATATAAAAATTACTTTTATAGTCACATTTATTTATAGTTATAATTGTCGTCTAAGTTATTTTTTTTATTAAATATTATAAAATAAAAAAAATAATTACATATTATTGTGAATATACACTCAAACCTCGTTATAGTGAAGACATCGGGTAAGGGAGAAAATCTTCCACTATATCGAGAGTGAGTTACACAGTGAACCCTCTATAAATGCAACTCCATAAATGCAACCCTCACGAGAGCCTGCATTTATGGGGAGAGGTTCATTGCTATTTTTTTCTATAATTAAACTCAATAATTGCAATCAAAGCTTTAATCTTTTTATAACGAACACTTCATTATATATAACGAAATTTATTATGAGTTCGTCATATAATATATAGTAACGAACTTTTCAAAATTTTTTATTAATAGAACCATCAATCTTGGGATAGTCATGTGAAACATCCAACTAATGATTGTTCTTATCGAAGCAGATCTCTGGCCAATAGATGACCAAGATCCCAAATCCATTTGATTCTGTAAAATTATTTGTGTGATCAAATATTATAAATAGATGATTTTAAATGTTCTAGAATGAAATTAAACATTCAGGAATATCTACTAATAATCCAATCATTGTGGATTGTACCTATAAATAGATCATCACAATGGTCTATTTTTAACATTTTTGGGATTTTTTCTAATATATAATAGGTTAACATATTAAACTTTTACGCGTGATCCTCGAAAAAAATATGTGCGAGCAGTTACTTCTTTGCTCTCTTAGCCAACTCATCATCGACGACATAAAATTTTCAGGTATATTAAATCATCTTTATTACATAATTATCGTACAAAAAGAAACGTAATAAAGAACTCACACTTGCTCCAAACTCCTAGATGGAACAATACAAAGAGACATTCTTGGAGGAGGTGGAACACACGCAATATATGGTAATAAGAGAATTACAATACCAAAAGATAGCTTTAGTCGCTTTTATACTCACAAATTACATAAAATATAACAAAAAATTAGGAATGCGCGTATGGTTCCCATCACCAGAATCGCAGAGCATTGCGTATCTAGTACACGCAGGCTACGACTTCCCACCAACAGTAATACAAACGTTACTATCACTCAACATCTCCTTAACAATAACATTTCACTCGACACTTCCCTCCATCAGAGGTCTAAACACATTTACAACACTCGACCATCGCAACTTCACGTATCAAACACGGCCAATTGGTACCGTGCCGGCAGACCTGCCCACCAGTTACCTAAACGTACGAATCTTCCATTTTTTATGCACGCCAGAACGCGCGATGCAACACGTGAACGCGATACTGCAGTTACGCGACAAGTCGTTGCCGAGGCCGGTGTTTGTGTGGGAACCGGTGCCCGATGTTACGAATAAAGAGTGTTTTGAGCAGTGTGTGGAGGCGATGAAGATGGTTGATGTGGTGTCGCCAAATCATGAAGAGGCGGCTGCATTTCTGGGATTGATTTCTGTGGATGAGGGGGATGAGAATGATAATAATAGAGATAAGTTTTTGGCGGATGAAATTCTTGTGAAGATGGCAGATCAGTTCCTCCAACAACAAATCGGAGTTAATGGGACTGGGTGTGTTATAATAAGGGCATCGTATAAAGGTGCATTAGTTGCAACCAAAGAAAAGAAGGAACTAATACCGCCTTATTGGTCTTGTATTAATAATAATAATAATAACAACAATAGTAATAATAATAATAATAACAATAGTAATAATGATGCAATATCCGGAGAAAGATTTCGAATAAAGAATAATCCACGAATAGTGGACGTTACCGGAGCTGGAAACTCATTTTGTGGTGGCTTTGCAGCCGGCCTAATAAAATCAAACTATGACGTGTTTGAGGCTGCACTATATGGCACAGTGAGCGCATCATATACTGTGGAACAACTTGGACTTCCACAGTTAACAATCGATGAGCGAACATCGAAGGAGTGTTGGAACGGGGATAGTTATCAAAATTATCACCATCATCAACATTATTTTCATCAAGATGATATTAGTGATGATGGTTATGGTGGAGACGAAAATCCTAATATAAGATTAAGTAAGTTGCGACAGCGAGTAAAAGATAAGCTAAAAGAACGTTTGAAAGAAAAGTTGAAGGAACGGATAAAGGGAAAGTTGATGAGAAAGGAAAATGGGATGGAGTTCTGTGATGAAAATTCTGATGAAGCTGTGAGTAGCAATCAAACTTAATTAAACAATTTGGTCTAATGGGGGTTCTTATTTGCTGGCGATCAGGCAAATAGAACTCGGCAAAAGCATTCAATTGAGAGGAATCGGAATTATATTCATTTTATCTTGGACTTTTTTTTCTTGTAATGTATATATAATTTATATTACCTTGTATCTATTATTTTTATGTTTACCTTTTTACGTATACCTTGATTATCTAAAATATCCTTATTGTCAGTATTATTTATCTTATTTATGGTTACTCATTCTACAATAGAAATGTGTTGCACAAGAAAATATTATTTATCTAGAACATCATTTTATTTTTATCCGCCAATAAACAACGGGCTTTTTCCTTCATTCATTGTTTTGTTAGACGAGGGCTCCTGGGTGGACCATAACTGTATCATATTCATAAAAATAGACAAATTACCATTACCGTACATGGTAAATGGCAGATGTGAAAAATTCGCGCAATGACGAACTTTGCGAAGGGAATTACAAACGAGTGACACCTGCTGGGTGCTGTATCCAGTCAAAACGTCCAATGTATCAGTATCAATATAATCGATGAGAACATTACATCTTTTGAACGAAACACAAATAAATACACTTTTATTTCTAGAAAAGGTAACAGTTATCGTTATATATTCTATGTATGCGGTGCTATTGTTGTACCTTGTCAAAGGTAATAATAATTTATCTTAGTGCATTGTAATTCGTCATAATATAGAAAGACTTTCACAGATATTTTTCGTTTACATTTTACCTGTTTTACCACCACTAGTCCTATTTATTATCGAAAAAAAAAAACTTTAAAAAAGTGCGTCGAAACTATAATCTCACTCTCTTTAGCACTACTATCTTAAACATACTCTTGATAATACCTTTAAATATTGTTAAAATCCCGAATAAAAACCAACAATACACAAATATAATGAGTAATTCCAAAAGTGGATTAACAGCCGATGGTCGTCGTCCTCACCCCTCTATCACTACTTCCGCGTCTCAAGAAGGTTACTATTATCCAGCATCGACAACAGCAAATTCAAACAATACTGCAAGAACACAACAACAGCAACAATATCCGAATAATAATAATAGTTTCTCATCTCTTCCAACTGTAAACACACCACCACCTGGCCACGGTACTACCCCACCAGGTCACGCAGTACCACTCGGTCACGAATCTTTTATTCCACGAGACCCATCTATGTCAATTATCGGCTCATACGACTACGATGTATCTGATTATTACTATCCCGATCGATCTTCTCGCGACCCGCGATCTTCTCAACAACAAACTCCTACATATTCATCGTCAAAATCACGTGGTACACTTTCTCCAACTCCAATTCCAATTCCGAAAAGTTCTACGCGCCCTTCATCTTCTTCATCGCAATCACGTGGAATACTTCATACTCATAATTTATCAGCGCCAGACCCAAAAATACAAAATCCAATGTTTCGGTCAGTTTCGCCGAATTCTGCTAATTATGCGTATCCGTCAAATAACTCGATGTCATCACCTGAATATGATTATTTTTCGAGTTCATCTTCACATCCTAATAACTCACCGCCATCGCCGTATATTGTGCCTGATCCACCTTTACCTAGTAGTCATGATAACAATTCAACTTCATATATTAATCAACATTCACAACATTTAAATTATCAAATACCATCACAAAGCTTTTCTCAAGAATTTCCGTCATTTTCAAGACCAGAATCATTAGCAGATCCTTTTAATATTCCTGCAGGTCAGAATACATCAAGATCCTTTAATACAACCTCAGAAACACCAAATCAACAACAACGCTCACGTCAGCAACCGCCATCAATTCCACCTCCACAAAGCAAACAACAGCATCAAAATTTACAATTTCCACCGACTCGACAATCGTCTCAACGTTCTGTACATTCTGTACAGAATGTGTCATTGTCGGCTTCGCCTCCTCCACAATTACATAAGGCTAGTTCTACTCCAGCCCTACACAAAAAAGCTAGTAGTGTATCATTTGATTCTGAACCCACGACAGTAGAAGAATATGTCCAGAAAGCAATAAAATATCATGAAAATGATCAACTCGAAAAGTCCGCTCATTATCTTCGAATTGCCGCTGAACAGGAATCACCGGCTGCGATGGTTCTTTACGGAATAGCATTAAGACATGGCTGGGTGAGTAGCTGTTTGTTTCCGATTCTATTGTTATATTGCCACGTAAAAATATTAACTCTATTAATCAATGACTTTTATATTATAGGGCTGTAAAAAAGACGAAGCTTCAGCATTTAGATACCTTCAAATGGCCGCAAAATCTGCCGTAAATGACCCCACGAAAATGCATCAAAGTGTGAACATGTCGTCTGTAAAAGGTGAAATGGTTCTTGCCATATATGAGTTAGGCATGTGTTTTAGGCATGGATGGGGTGTAGTGAAGAATAAGTCTACGGCTGCTTATTATTTTGAAATTGCGGCAAATATGGTAGGATTTTTTGTTTTATTTATTAGATTATGAATTAGTTAGATGTCTTAGTTAACTTATGTTTTTTATTTTTCATTAAATAGGGAGATCCTGATGCACAGAATGACATTGCACTGTGTTATTATAAAGGCGAAGGTGTGAAAAAGGATATGAAACTTGGTAGGCATTTATTCAATAATATTTGCTTCTCATTTAATTTACACTAATAATAAACCTATTTACATTTAGCTGCAAAATACTATAGAATGGCACATGCACAAGGTCAAGGAACAATGGGCAATTCGTGGATATTTAAATCCAAATATGACAATGTATAATAAATGATTCAAAAATTCAACTAATTAACGTAATTTTTTCTTCTTATTTATTCAATTCATTAGCATCGATCTTTTCATCAACCTGCATCTTCTTAATCATATTTATTTAGTGTACAAATTTCAATTTCTTGTATTTTTACACTGGCATTCCACCACAATCCTACTTTACATGTAAATATATATTTAATTATGCGACTTTCGCAATAGAACCTAATAATTTTAGTTATTTATTTAGTGTATACACGGTCGGTAGTTTTTATTTATTATATATGACCTTTCTTCGATTATCAAAGTTTACATAATAGAATTAAATTTCGAATCGAAAATACCTCGATACATTTATTAGATAAACAATTTGGCGCGCCCGAAAATTAATTATGTCATTTGTATGTAATACAGTTAACCCCCAACATTATGCCACAAATACATAGTAGTAGTTCTCATAAATGCTATTTCGCTCCTCATTTCTCTATTAGGGGGCATCCACAAATAACGTTATACATGTATAAACCAAATAAGATCTTCTACCCTCCCTCCTTTTCTATTATTCAGTTAGATACCCCCTCTTTTATAACGCAATTTATTTATTCAGAAAAAAGTAATACTAAAATTAGGGTTGCAAAAGATAAACTACAATTGCTGCAAATTTTCGGCTATAGATCAATGCTAAATCTATTGATAATCAATAAAAATTTCCTATTTTGTAAATTCTACCATCGCCAGAGAAAAAAATTTTTATTTTACAAGCCAATTTCTTGATCATAAATCATACAGAAATTATAATAAAATTGAGGTTATGCAAGATCATATGACACAATTTTGAGATCATACGTATATCTATCGCTATCAAATTTGAAACTATAATAATTATAAAAGAAATTCTTTAGATTCAGGTTAAATGACAATATTAAAAGATAAAATTGAATATAATATGAGTGGAAATAATTATATTAACTATATTTCGATAATAAATTCTAATAACATAAATATATAATATTATAAGTAAATATAACACAAATTGTAATAATTATATATTAAAAAATTTTTGGAAAAAATTTATATTTTCTAAAAGAAAATTAATATTAGTCACAAAAAATTATATATAATATTAAAAATTTACAATCAAATCTTTCTATAATTACATCTCTCTATAGTCATTTTATTTTGTTTTTCCAATTATATATAAATATAATAAAAAACTCATTTATAGTTAAGAGTGCTTGCCAAAATCTCTTAGTAGTTATTTAAATTCTGTCAAAATTATAATAAATTATTAATAAATAGAATACTGAAATTCTACCAAATTTTGAAACCTATTAAAACTGAAATTTTATCAAAATTTTAACAATTAGTATATAATTTGTTAAAACTCTGCCAAAATATTTTTGAAGTAATTTTGGCAAGCATTCTTATCTATAATCACATTTTCTTTATAGTTATCAAATTTTGCTTTTTTAAGATAATAACTATAGTGATGTTTAATTATACTTTATATTTTTTCATATAATATTGTAATGAAATTTTATTTATCTTAATTAATGAATGCTTTGAATTTAGAATTATATGTATTATATATATTTATAATATTGTTATAATATGAATATTTAGTTCTTATTTTATTGGTTAATTCATATTATAAATTTAATTAAATAATATTTTATTGGTTAATTTTATATTCATATTTTATTGGATATTAGCTATATAAAATATTATTTGTAAATATTTTTAGATGATTAAATAAGCAATATGATTATAGTTAAATTAGCAATTTAATTATAGCAAAAACAACAATATGATACTAGCAAAACAAGCAATTAAATTCTAGCAAAAGTAGCAATAGTATCATAGTAAAAGTAACATTCGTAAAATCATTAAATATTATAAAAGTAATATATCTTAGCTAGTAATTTAAATAGATTTAATAGTTTTTAGGATCTCAAAAATAATAAATAACTATTAAAAACATGTAATAAATTAATGATAAATTCACCTAATAATAAAATTATATTTTATTATTATTAAATTATGATCTTATAATAAA